TGATGATCCGATGATTCGAAGTAAGCCAAAGTAAGCCTTTATTTAGATCTGTGGGGGTGTCATGGTTTATATAGTGGTTATTACTTGGAAGTGGGGGGGGGGGGGTAGGGGTAGGGCTTCAGTCTTGACCACTAAGTTGCATAGAAAAACTTTTAACCCTTCCTAATGGATTAACAGATGATGTCATGGCCCCATGTGCCCTCAGGCAGGTTACGCCTATGACCATGCCACTATAATCATTGACGGATGCATGTAGTGGGTCGGGGGAAGAGGTATATGTAGGAGAAAACAACTATGCCCATGTGCCTCAGTTATCATCAGTTGTTGATTCTTGGGGGGGGGGGGGGGGGTGGGGGGGGGGGGGTGGGGGGGGGGGGAGGGGTGAACACGTATTAGCCTATCTCAAGTTTCATACTAGCATTCATTATAAGGCAAAACGCATTCCGATGACGTCATTCTCTCGCTATATTTTGACCCCACCCCCTCCTCTCTTTATCAGTTCTTTCAAGCGAGCCGTTCTCACAGTCGGGCCGAACCGAACATTCGAAATCCGGGAGCGGCAGGAGGAAGATCGGTTTGTACGGGATCACGAAATCCGGTGCATCTTCGAGGGCAATGAATAATAAGAGGAGTTAAAAATTATGTATTTGGTATCACTCCCACCATTAAAGGGTAACTCTTTCTTTTAATCTCATCCAACAAATTTTTCAAATAGAAAATACATAATAGGGCTATAGTAAAATTGGTTCCATTTGTAAACGTTTCAATGATTAATATTGCCAGAGAAATGAATGATAGAGTCTTATACGTGTATAATGTAACTTATATGTAGTCTTTACAAACAAGTAGTTTTTCTGTATAGGAGATTGCTAAAGCAGATTTCACTGCACATGGCAAAAGAAAAATAGGAAGAAAGAAAGAACTATAAATGGTCTCACGACTCAGAACGTTCAACATTATTGTATTGAGAACAAATTCTAGATCGCCATGCAAGATTTCGATAAAATATCGCCATAGTGTGATGACCGAAGCTTAAAATCTACGCTTTTTGTCGTTGTAGACTTGTGTAGAAACTTTGAAAATTCATTTGCTGCAATTTTTTTTCTTGGTCATATAGAGCTGTAATTATGCACGAAATAGATGTCCGCCTATCTCTGCATGTGCCCGAGGAGAGGGGAAGGTAATAAGCCATACAGCTAGTGTTGTCAATTGACAAAAATATACCAAATAATACTTTTCATTGCTCAATATTGATGTATCTCAAATAAATGAATGCAATCTGACATTTAATTTCTTACAACATCTGCCGGAGTTTCTTTGTCTGCTTAGCACACACCTTAAAGCAGGAGTGGAGATCAATTTACCATAAAACAACAATAACACATGAGCAATAACCCCATTCTTTCTGTTCCTATGTTATGGTGAAATAATGTTTTCTATTTAAAGGCCTGCACAAATTAATCATGATATGAAAACACACAGTTTATCATTCTTTTGGTTGGTTGTAGCTTCACACACTTCAACATTTTTTGTTTCTTCCAATTAAAAATAATTAGAAGAAAACAGGCCTTTTCTTCTGTAGGATATTATGCCAGTTTTATTTCTCTCTGATTACGTAGAGAAAACCTTTCTGGGTTTCTTCTTTGCTTCACATATACATCAAAAGTAAACATCTTTCAAGAACTACTTTCCATTACACTTTTATGACCTTATTTTTAAATATTTGTGAATATAATATGTATAACTAAAACCAGAATGACTACGTTCAATAACAATCAATTATTATAATTGTTATTATTATTAACCTTTTATTATTATCATAATGGTTATTAATATTATTATTATCATTAATTGTTATCATTTTCAATGTTATTATTGCTAATATTAATTTTCGGTTGCCTCCCCGTCTGAATATGATGTCCGCTTCACAGAATACAATATACAGTTCCATTGGGGCAGAATAAAGGGAGGAGGTGTAGACCCTACCCCTGCCTCGTATGCCTTAACATGGTTGTTCCCCTTTAATATACATGGGCTTCCATATAATACAAAAGAATGATAATGTTTTAAAGTTAAGGTTCAAGTTTAAAGGAGCATTTATTTTTTAGCAGTCTTTGCATTTCCCAGATATTTCAAACATTTTAATCAGTGCCCCCCCATTTAAACCCAGCTACCCAATATGCACCTGACAATAATTATTATGATAACTTATTTTGCTCCTCAAAGACCATGTTTTTTGCCAATGCCAATTGTGTGTATTCTTTTTTAAATTTTCTAGGGGGACGTCACTTATCCTTAAGAAGACCCCATTTCTGTATATACCTTGTCATTATCATACATCTAAATGTTAATATGTTGATGTAATATGGATATCGAATCAAATCAACTTAATAAAATTTGGAGTGGACTTTAAAAGATTAAATCAAATAACATAAGGATAATTAATAGTTAATGAATACAACTAAAGCTAATATTTGTTATCCTAATCAAGAGCTCATGTGATCAAACTGTACCTGATAATTATAACGAGGATATATTTAGCGCGACTGGTTTTCCCCAATATCTGTTATTTCTCCTATACGTAACTATCTGCCTATCAATTAGGCATTTTAGTCTCAATATCCTACGGGCGTCACATGTCAGTGTTGTGATCGACGCCATAGTTATTTCTGCAAATCAATTGGATAAAACGACGATTGACGTGGCCATGGCTCACGTAAGTTGATCAGGTTGTACTTTTGTACTCAATCGACTTTTTCAATAAAAACCAGTCAATAATTACTAAGCAAGGCACGTTGTTTTTTTTCTTCACCAATTTAAGGAGAGGTTTGCAGAAATTATCTTTGTCTGAGCTGCATGCAAACACACTATTATAAAAGTGGGCAAAATTTACTGGGTATTAGACTTTTTTTTAGAGGGGAGAGGGAAAAAATAAATCAAGTTTCATGCATGAGAAAAAAGTCGGGGAAAAAATAAGTTAAAGATAGAAAGTATAAGAGGGAGAGAGGGAGGGAGAGAGAGAGAGAGAGAGAGATAAAGATAGAGAAAGAGAGAGAGGGAGAGAGGGAGGGAGAGAGAGAGAGAGAGAGAGAGAGGGGAGGGGGAGGGGGGGGGGGGGGGGAGAGAGAGAGAGAGAGAGAAAGGGAGGGGGAGGGGGATAATCGAAGGACATAAAGAGGATCAGAGCAAAAGAGAAACAAATCAGGGTGTAGGCGGATGAACACTGAACATTTTATTTACCTCAAGGAAGAGGTTGGGGAAGGAGGTTCGATCCACCCCTTGATCCGCCTGATAAGTTATCTACATGTATAGTGGTACGAAGGGGAGGGAGGGGGAGGGTTCCGGCTTCTAAGAGGCAAGAAGGGAGATGAGTCAATGATTCTAAAGCTCACGGCCCCGTTTTCTGGTTTCCCACTACTCAATCATCCCTTTAAGAAAAGTTGGGGGCTCATTATATATTTACGATATATTTCACTCTCTACCTTTCTTTTTACTCTCAGTAACTTTTTTTAACTGCTCTAATTATTAAATGCTATTATTTTTGTCATAAAATGTTATTATGTATTTAATGCATTAATTGACTAAAACATCGGCGTTTTAACAACAATATACTTAATTCAGTTTCTGTATAATCATTTTATAATTCACATATTCAAGTGGAATACAATTTATGTTGAATGGAATCGAATAAAGATGACGGAAAAGGAAAGAAAGATATATATATATATATATATATATATAATTAATATTAATTCTATTGCACACAATGTGTCATCTTACGTCTGACGTAGGACAGCGTCAATGACAATGGTAGTGTATTTTGACGCACCAAAAGAGAGAGTGACAAGGCACACGTAGTGATTGGAGTTTGATTGGCGCAAGGGTAATAAATTAATACACCTCGCGTGCAAGAAAGACATATTTTTTTCATTGGAATGACATCGTTACGGAAGCTTATAAGTGCCAACCAGATGACGAGATGAGAAGACAAGAAGACAAGTTAAATGACGAGAAGTCGAGTTGTTGGAACTCGGCAAGTCGACTTGTTTGGGACAAGAAGACAAGATGACGAGTTGTTGAAACTCGAAACTTGATTAAGCACTCGTTGATGTATAGGCTATACCGGTAAACCATTTTCAAGGGGGCATATGACTCATTTGTATATAATTGATGTTTGCACCCAGATTTGATTTGATCCCAAACAAGACGACTTGCCGAGTTTCAACAACTCGTCATCTTGCCTTCTTGTCCCAAACAAGACGACTTGCCGAGTTTCAACAACTCGTCACCTTGTCTTCTCGTCCCAAACAAGTCGACTTGCCGAGTTTCAACAACTCGTCGTCTTGTGTTCTTGTCCCAAACAAGTCGACTCTCCGAGTTTCAACAACTCGTCAACTTGCCTTCTTGTCCCAAACAAGTCGACTTGCCGAGTTTCAACAGTTCGTCATCTTGTCTTCTTGTCCCAAACAAGTCGACTTGCCGAGTTTCAACAGCTCGTCATCTTGTCTTCTTGTCCCAAACAAGTCGACTTGCCGAGTTTCAACAACTCGTCGTCTTGTGTTCTTGTCCCAAACAAGTCGACTTGCCGAGTTTCAACTACTCGTCGTCTTGTGTTCTTGTCCCAAACAAGTCGACTCTCCGAGTTTCAACAACTCGTCATCTTGTCTTCTTGTCCCAAACAAGTCGACTTGCCGAGTTTCAACAGCTCGTCATCTTGTCTTCTTGTCCCAAACAAGGCGACTTGCCGAGTTTCAACAACTCGTCATCTTGTGTTCTTGTCCCAAACAAGTCGACTTGCCGAGTTTTAACAACTCGTCATCTTGTGTTCTTGTCCCAAACAAGTCAACTTGCCGAGTTCCAACATCTCGACTTCTCGTCATTTAACTTGTCTTCCCGTCTTCTTATCTCGTCATTTGCTCGGCACTTATAAGCTTCGGTACATCGTACTTTCTTTTTGACGCTCCCGACAACCCATCTCCTCTTTTTCCAATATCACACGTCCTGAGTTGCTCAATGTAAACAAATATTTCTCGACAGGATGACGTCCGTATAGACGGACACAGAATAATTGGCACCTATTCGTCTACCGTTGAGGCGGACTATGTCAATGATGATCGAAACAGACGTTTTTATTTGGATCCCGGCAATGAGTTCAACTTAGATTATGGGAAGGCCTTTAGGAGTTACACGGACAGAGAGAGGGCTAACGTAGGACCGATCGGAGGAAAATACAAGTGGATGCGAGATAATCGGCAGGTACTGATAGACAATGGAATTTTGGATAGAGACCAATCAAGGTTAGATTCATGTTATGATTCATAATCTTTGACATGTAAGTTTCAATTATTTGAAGGTTAGTTACAATTAACGGGTTTAAGTTATGATTCATAATCTTTGTCATGCAAGTTTCAATTATTTGAAGGTTAGTTACAAATAACGGGTTTAAGTTATGATTCATAATCTTTGCCATGCAAGTTTCAATCATTTGAATTATTGGAATAACGGGTACCAGTAACCAGGCACAAGTCCCCATTTCGCTTTCTGATGATGAACCGTTGGAATAGCGCAACAAACATTAGGAATAATGATCTATTCTTAATTTTCGGAATTATGAACCTTCTGGAATGGGAAATTTGTATTTCGAAATTACGAAACCTCGAAATTATAAACCTCCGGAAGAACGAACCTTCGGAAAAAACAACAACTCACGAAGCTGTCCTCATTTTTTACCCCTTACTTCTAATTACAACTTATCCCCACAGATTGAACGTGGATTTTGTTTCACGTCGAGGGTTACTTAAAAGCATTTTGAAAATGGGAGGACGAAATGACTGGGACATGGACCTTGCCGTCACTCTCTACAAAGGTACCTATCACCTCCGTCAGATGAGTAGAGCACATCTAAATCCTCAAAATGAAAACGATCAGCTGATATTAGCATCCTCCAAGCTCCTTCTTAACTTTTTGACGAGCAGTAAGTATGTTGTTCTTTCACTTCCATGTAAATTATGCATTCAAAATTGTAATTCACAACATCATGAATTCACTCTTTTGACTAATTGTTCGTTCATTCATTAATTCTTTCATTCATGATAATAGTATGTTATGTATCAATTCATGCTGAGCAAACTTCGTTAACATTCGTATTCTACCGGGTACCCATATAACACCTGGGTTGAGAGTGGCAAATATAGATTAACGTCCTGCCCAAGAACGTTAGTGCCGGGCTGGAATTTGAACCCCATACCTTTTGATCCACAGTCCGATGGCCCTATACAATGTCTAGGCATATCTTGTGTAGGGAAATATATTTTCGACGTACAAAATTTAAATGGGGAAAGGAAAGTTGAGAAAATAAAAAATTCACTGTATTAATGGAAATGAGAGGCCTAACACTATATCTAACACTATATATAAAATGTTGTACTTAAACGTTGACGCCATTATGCAGAGCTAATGATAACAATGACTATTTCGTGCTTTTGTCCTTTATCAGAGGATGGGCTAATCCCAGACGAGCCTGCCCCCGTAAACGAGAATGAAATCTTCTATGGTTTGATGACGGTCAACTGCGGGAATCACCGCTTGCTTGTGCGTGGTGAGATACAGACAGAAAAGAGAATCACCGCTGATGAGCCACCTCCAGCATTGCCAAGCCCAAGAAACTGTCTGAATGTCCGATCGAGGGAGAGCTCTCAATATATAAATCCGTAAGAAAATAGTCCGTAATAATTATAATAATGATTATATAATAATAATTATGATAATTTTCGTAATGTAATCAAATAGACAGGCTTTCTAACATTTTGAAATTGTATGCATAAGTTTTAAACATGTGTTTTTTCTTGATAAGCTGAAAGCATTTCCGAGGCTTTCCCGGCTTAGCAAAATATAATGTATGCAGACTGAATTCCAGGTATTGTAGTTCATTCATTAATAACAGAATAATGAAATTACTCGCCATGCGGTTCCCATAAATAGGCAGTACAGGAATTTAATTATAATTCGTAAACCGGTCTATTAAAAGAAACCCCTACATGAAGTTGAGCGAGTTATTTATAGGAAACAAAATAAGTTTGATTTATCTCATAATGCACAACTGCCGTAATCAGTTACAGACTTACAGCAGTGGTCCTAAGGCGGGCGGGCCCCTGGACCTTATCCGTAAAGAAAGGAGAGGTTCCCGAGACAACTCTTTGTTCCATAAATTTGTCCATTTTAGAGACTATGTGTGGAAGAGAAAATTTATTCCAACAAATTTAACCAATAGGGGCAGTGGAAATTGAGTTTTTGAAATTAAGAAATGAGTCTAATTTGGAAGAGCGTCCGGGGACTTCTCCCCCAAGACCTCCGAAAGGGTTCTGCCCCTGCATCACAGGGGCCCGTTCTCCAGGGCTTTAGGGTAAAAATAAAAAAAGAATCAAAGAAAATTGTATTTATTTTTCGAACCAAAACTTTCTGATTGCTGTAGTAAAAAAGTAATGTTCTCTTGTTCAACCGTATACAATTCTCTCTCTTTCCCTCCCAATCTCCTTTTCTCCCTCCCCCCTCCCTCCCTAACTCTCTCCTTCCTTCTCTCCTTCCTCTCTCCCACTCGCGCTCTCTCTCTCTTTCACTCCCCGTCTCTCCCAATTCCTCCTTTCCTCCCTCCCTGTTGTTCTCTATCACATATACCACCATCGTGACTCGTTTACTAACATTCAATCACCAATCTCTTTCTATATTCTATAAACTTTCCCCTTTTTCCTCTTTCCCGATAAACAGAACACCAAAAAGTAACCTCTTTTGGGAGTGTATTTTAAGTGATTTTAAAGTATAGTGCCTTTTGAACCAGATTTAAACGTTATCGACACGTGCCTTCATTTAAACAAAAAAAGGTACTCCTGTTCACGTTTTCATCTAACCTAAAAACCACCAGTTTATCACGCGACTGGAGTAACGTGATTCCACTTACCTCTGTAAATCAAGTGTTTATGACCAAATAACCACTTGACCAAGCAACGAGTTTTTGTCAGTTAACCGATGGTGGCGATAAATACGTCATTATTTGGTCTTGTAAGCACCTTTATTGATTGGTTTCACAGGTTATCTAAGGTTGATGGTAATAATCACGTTATTTACACCGGCTAATCGTCTTATTGTTCTGTCCGTGAATCTCTGGTTATATTCAACTAGTAATTCTGAGGTGTTTTACACACCTCTTTAAAAGGTTTCAAAGTTACCATAAATTTCTTGGTTATGATCACGTGGCTCAAGCTGATTACTAATCTAAGCTGTGAAAACGTGATATGTAGGTGTGAAAATTAGTAATTATTAAGTGTTTTAAAACACCTTTTTAAATGGTAGTCAAAGTAGCCATAAGTTCCGCGGTGATGATCTCGTGACTCTAACGGATTATTGATCTAAGCTTGTCATACGTGACGTTTAGGTGTGAAAAATTAGTCATTATTAGGTGTCTTAAAACACCTATTTAAATGGTTTCAAAGTTACCATAACTTTCTTGGTGATGATCACGTAGTTAAAACTGATTACTAATCTAAGCTGTGAATCCGTGATATTTAGGTGTGAAAAATTAGTCATTATTAGGTGTATTAAAACACCTATTTAAATGGAAGTCAAAGTTGCCATAAGTTCCGCGGTGATGATCTCGTGACTCAAACGGATTATTAATCTAAGCTGGGCATACGTGACTTTTAGGTGTGAAAAATTAGTCATGATTAGGTGTCTTAAAACCCCTATTTAAATCGTAGTCAAAGTTGCCAGCAGTTCCGTGGTGATGATCGCGTGACTCAAACGGATTATTAATATAAGCTGGGTATTCCGTGTTTTCCATGTGTGAAAATGAGTTATTCTTGGGTGTCTTGATGGTTTCACAGTTACCATTTAAGTTCCGTGGTTATAATCCCGTGACTGTTGGCATATTTCTTTGTGCACCAGTGGATGACTGAGCGTTGGCATATTTCGAGTTGACCCAGCTGACACCAATTCATTTGCATATTGAATATGGGGTGCGTGCAGATCTATGTTTTTTAAACAATTTATCTGAATTTACAGCATATTTCTTAATTACTGATGATTTAGTTATATGCAATTTATTTCGAAAATACTACAAATATAAATGACCAGTTATTAGGACATTTCGCTACTTCGTATAAATAGTTAAACATGAATAAGGGAAACATTAACTGTGAACTAAAATAATTTCAATAAAGTACAAGTATACGAATTTTGTTCGTTTAATTCAATTATGTATGTCTACTTATTACCAATGCCCTTACATTGGAAATACAGACGTACCAGTATTGAAGTATTGTTGCTGTTCAACTGGTTGGAAGTTTTACCAAATGGTTCTAATGGCTCAGCTAGACCAGTTGAATTATAACTGGCCTGGATCAACTGGATCATTTAGCCCATTTCAATTTCCAGGGTTACCAGTTGGCATTAAGTGGTTCATCAACTGGACCAGTTGCAACTAGCTTTCTCTTCTGGGATGTTTGCACCCCCCCCCCCCCACCCAACCCCCTGTAATCCCAAACTGCTTCCGGCGCGACTGGACGTAATTATGGAAGATCCAAAACACGATGTTCAGAAACGGGATGAGAACGTCATTATTTTGGTTCATCTATTGTGTAACATTTGCGTAATTATTGGGATGAACGCGGGTTACAGTAACATATTTCCTCTTCGACGTAAATTTCACGTGAATGAAGAACATGGTTCATCTCAAGTCAGCCTCGTAATATTCACGTGAATTTCACGCAGATATTTTGACTAAAACTATCACTAACGCTTCACGTGTTTCTGTGCCGCGATAATTTCGTGTATGAAGATGTAATTTCATAACCAAACAAACACGGGAGTATTAGGTTTACAAGCCATGGTCTCCAAGGTAGGGATAATCACGTTATTATAATGGTGATATTGCAGTGACAATTGCGTGATTTAGTGTACGTGTGTTTTAAGTTACCTAATGCAAAAAACGTATTAACACATTTACGTAAATGTCCGGTGTTTGAAGAACGTAACTCTCATCAAGTCGATACCTTGATATTGACGTGATTTTCACGTGATTTTGTTTATTGGGTTCCCTTTCCACCCCAGGGTCCTACCCTGTTCCGCCGTCTTACTGTCCCCTCTCACTTCTTTCTCTCTTTCGTCTCATACCGCTACTCTCTCGCCGGGCCTCCACCCATATCAATTTTTGTTATTGTTCTATCTTCTCTTTTACATCATCCTTGGCTCTACGGCAGTATGAAGGCCTTAAACTGGTGGGCAGCGAATAAGATTGCGGGCATTCCCGAAACCCGTTATGGGTTGCGAGACGACGAACGCAGAACCATCGAGAGAATCGGTACCATACAAACCGACAGGCTGGCGACGTCTAGATTTACTGAGGTGATTTATTGCAATGACGAACCTTCGTCATTGCCTTGTTTTCGTTCACATTCTTCTTATTAATATTCTTACTTCTTTGCAATGACGACCCTTCGTCATTGCCTTGTTTTCGTTCACATTCTTCTTATTAATATTCTTAGTTCTTCTTGTCGTCCGGAATCCCATTCATTTTGCACGTAGTGCTTGTTATTCCTAGTTAGGTGCTTTCCTCATGTCCTTTTCCTTTCAAATTTCATAGGCATAGTCTCTAACATCTTATCAAGGTCACTACATTTTTCGATTCTCGAAATCACTCATGCATAACCGTCCAGGCGCCATTTTGTCCGTGTCTGGTCCATTTTAAGGCCTTTCTTTCTTCCTTCCTATCTCAACTATCCTAGATCCTACAACCTTCTAACAAATTCCTCTAGATAGTCTAAGAGATGTTCTTTCATCTGCGACGTATAACCTGACCTTCAAAATGCCATCTTCGTACTCAAAATTCAAATCTGAAACCGACTCCATCAAAATCTCTCAAATTCTCGAAAATTTGACCCCTAAATAATCTAAAACTGCCATAACTTTCTCATATAAATTTCGTTTTGTTTTTAAATCTCACAGTATCTTTATCTCATAATTGCACATAGCCATGCCAAATTTCACGCTCCAATGGCTATGCAAAACATAAATAGCGCCCTCTAAAGTTCTGGGAATTGGCTTTCTCTCTGTGGCCGTATCTCCATAATGGCTTGGCAAACCCGTACCCTTTTTTGGATTTAGATACTTGAAGATATGCCCTTTCCAGCCATATACAAAATTATATACCCTATAACTGACCAAATATGAGAAAATTGCCCTCCAAATTCTCCATTTTCAAGAAAATTGAGAAATAACTTCAGCTTGCTCTAAACCGGCGATCTTTATACCTACATCAATGAAACTTGGCAGACACATGTATCCATATACGTGACAACTGTCTGCTAAGTTTGGTAAATTGTAATGCCCTATTCGCCAAGTTATCGCCAAAAATGATGAATTTACTATGCTTTACGTATTAGCGCGTTTGATGCGTGCAGTACGTTTTGCGCAGATGACAATGGTGTCAAACTGACCGCACTGAAGTGCCCTTTCGAATGATACCAAGTATGGTATATGTTCACGCACAAAATTGTGAGTAAATCACATTTGAACAAGTACGAATTCCGCCGAGTTTCCATGACGTCATTTGTTAAGACTGTTATTCGGTTGTGTTAGTATGGGCGGCCGTTCGTGCCAAAGCACGCGTCGTAACATGTTCATCATGCACCAAGTCATATTGGTTTTGCACGCAGTGCTTGCGAGCCCTTTCTAGATCCCTTCCTCTACTCCAATTCCCTTCAAAATTCGTAGGCGTAGTCTCTAGCATTCCTTCAAGGTCACTAAATTCTTCGTTCTCCGGAAACCCTCATGCGTGACCGTCCAGGCACCAATTTTTCCGTTTCGGGCCGTTTTGGTGACCTTTCTTTCGCCCTAACTATCTCCACTATCACAGAAGCTACAGACTTCTTTCATATTGCTCTGGATAGTCCGAGAGTAGCTCCTTCGTTTGACACGTAGAAACACGGCGTCATTGCACGCACATCGTTGTGACACGATTGCATTTCTAGTCTTCCTCCTCTTCTTCTTGTCGTCCGGAATCCCATTCGTTTTGCACGTAGTGCTTGTTATTCCTAGTTAGGTGCTTTCCTCATGTCCTTTTCCTTTCAAATTTCATAGGCATAGTCTCTAACATCTCATCAAGGTCACTACATTCTTCGATTCTCGAAATCACTCATGCATAACCGTCCAGGCGCCATTTTGTCCGTTTCTGGTCCATTTTAAGGCCTTTCTTTCTTTCTTCCTGTCTCCACTATCCTTCATCCTACAAACTTCTAACAAATTCCTCTAGATAGTCTGAGAGATGTTCTTTCATCTGCGACACATGACTTGACCTTCAAAATGCCATCTTCATACTCGAAATTCAAATCTAAAACCGACTCCGTCAAAAATCTCTCAAGTTCTTGAAAAATGGACCCCTAAATAATCTAAAACTGCCATAACTTTCTCATATAAATTCCGTTTTGTATTTAAATCTCACAGTATCTTTATCTCATAATTGCACATAGCCATGCTAAATTTCACGCTCCAATGGGCTTGCACAACATAAATAGCGCCCTCTAAAGTTCTGGGAATTGGCTTTCTCTCTGTGGCCGTATCTCCATAATGGCTTAGCAAACCCGTACCCTTTTTTGGATTTAGATACTTGAAGATATGCCCTTTCCAGCCATATACAAAATTATATACCCTATCACTGACCAACTTTGCGAAAATTGCCCTCCAAATTCGCCATTTTCAAGAAAATTCTGAAATAACTTCAACTTGCTCTAAAATGACGATCTTTATACCTACGTCGTTGAAACTTGGCAGACACATGTATCCATATACGTGACAACTGTCTGTCAAGTTTGGTAAATTTTAATAACGTCAGCGCAAAGTTATCGCCAAAAATGATGAATTTGCTATGCATTACGTAATAGCGCCTTTAATGCGTGCAGTACATTGCGTGCAGATGACAATGGTGTCAAACTGACCGCAATGAAGTGCCCTTTCGAATGATACCAAGTATGGTATATGTTTACACAGAAAATTGTGAGTAAATCGCATTTGAACAAGGGTCACTATACGAATTCCGCCCGATTATAACACTTATCGGCGATGACGTCATTTTTTCAGACTACTTTTCGCCCCCTAAACATCCTTTTTTTTCGTTGAAAATTTGCAATGACATTCCGAGATGCAATACGCAGGGCACCTCGTGGCCGGATTTTTGAAAGTAGTCAAGGGGGCCATTTAAGACGCCATTTTGTCCTTTAAATCTATTTTACATCACATGTTTCGATAGGATTATCATAGAAAAAAAGAGAGTAGTTTACAATAACGACCATGAAATTCTCTTTCCAATGATACCATATACGGCCCATAAAGAGACATAAAGAGAGAGAGAAAAAACAATTTAACTCCGGTCATAATACAGATCCTGTACGTTTTCCGCCCATGCATTACACGCATTGTCTATGGGGCAAATCGGGTTCACGCTTTTGACCCCTAGAACGAGCTTGATTGATTTGACGAACGTGCAACTAATCCCATTTGTTTTTGCACGCAGTGCTTGCGAGCCCTTTCTAGGTTCTTTCCCCTATCCCAATTTCTTTCAAACATCGTAGGCATAGTCACTACCATCCAATCAAGGTCACTATTGAGGCCTTTCTTTCGCCCTACCTGTCTCCAATATTACAGAAGCTAAAGACTTCGTACAAATTGCTCTGGATAGTCCGAGAGAAGCTCTTTCGTTCGACACGTAGAAACACGGCGTCATTGCACGCACATCGTTGTGACACGATTGCATTTCTAGTATTGATACTACGACTGTAGGCTTGCAGTCGATCGAGAGAGGCGAATTTTCGTAATAACTAGTTGCGTACGAGGGGAGTGTGCTGGGGGGGGGGGGAGATATTCTAAACTTGGTAGTTATCGTCAAAGCAATCCTATCACAATGAATACTGGTTAAGGTAACAAGAGCTGATTTTTCATTTGCATGTAAAGGGTCATTATACATGTAGATTAGCAATAAGCAGGGGCGGCCGAGCGACTTTCAAAGTGTGGGGGGGGGGGGGGCACCAACAAAAAAGGGCACTTTCTGGAAAAAAGGGCACCTACAGTGGGAAATCTCAAAGCGAAAATATACCATTTTTAGACATTGGTATATACCCCTACATTGTGATTACATTATCAGGGATGATTTCAATATTTGTTTCTCTTCATACATCATACAAGATATCGCTTAAGCATCAAACTTTACAGTTGGGTGTGATGTCTGAATATGCATTTACGAGCGAGCGAAGCGAGCGAGAAATTTTTTAAAGATCTTTGAGGTCGCAGTGCGAAAAATTACATCTTATAAAAAGGAAAAAAGCCAATCGTGATAGGGTTATAAGCACATTCTCATAACGGAAGACTGAAAAGACCTTTGATAAGTAATATAATTATATAATCTTTAAATGCGAGCGAGCGCAGCGAGCGAACTTTGGGGGAAACTGCTCTTAGTCGCTTTAAATAAGGGGCACGTTTAATGATTACATGAAAAGGGGACAATTATCGAAAGGGATAAGACACTTATTAGAAAAGAAAAGGAGCACGTGTATAAGTACAAAGGATAATTATAAGAGGTGAAAATGAGGCATTTTTTCACTTGAAAAGAGGCACTCACCAGTGACGAAAATGGGAAATAGGCATTTGTTGATGGAAAAGGGGCACCCATCAGATTTTAATAGGGTAATTTATAAGAGGTGAAAAGGGGATAGGTCCCTTATTAGAAAGGAAAAGGGGCATGTATCATTAAAATGGGAATTATCAGAGTTGCAAAGGGGCACTGACCAGATATGAAAAGGGGCACTTATGAAAATGTAAAAGGGGCACTTATAATAAAGGAAAATGTGCATTTGTTGAATAAAAAGGGGGCACCGTTCAGATGTTTAAAAGGGGCAGTTATGAGAAGGGGAAGGAGCTCTCTCTTTTTAATGGGGGCACTTATCATAAGGAAAAGGGGCACTTATTAGAAAATAAGAGGGGCACATGTTAAATGAAAGGTGCGCTCATCCGAGTTTAAAAAAGGGGTAGTTATTAAAAGGAGAAGGGGCACTTCTTACAAAGAAAAAAAGGGGAAGTTGTCAAAGTAAAAAGAGCACCTCTCAGTTTTGAATAGGGCAATCATCAGAGGTGAAGGGGGCACTTATTAAAAGTGAAAAGGGGCACTTCTCGTACCTGAAAAGAGGCACTTACTAGAGATTAAAAAGGACACTTATTCAAGATAATTTCAAGATTCATGAGAATGGAAAATGAACATTTATTGCAAAGGAAAATGGGAACATGTCGAAGGAAAAGGGGCACGTGTCAAAAATAAAAAGGGCACTCGTCAGAGGTGAAAAGGGGAAAGGGGCATTTTTACTAAGTAATAGGGGCACTTGTCAAAGTAAAAGGGGCACCTTTCATATGTAAAAGGGGCACTTCTTACAAAATAAAAGGGGCACTTTTCCTATGTAAAAAGGGGCATTTTGGGGTATCTGGAAAAGTGGGAGGGGGGGCACTGTGCCCCCTGCCCCCCGGGAGGGCCGCCTCTGGCACTGAGGGAATAAGTTTATTTATACAGCTAGATACATTTCGTTGATATAGCTCAGAGATTCAAGTCACGTGTTTGTGTTTTCTCATTAATTTATAATCATATGAGTGCATAGCTTTTCAGTATCTGTTATATTCAGCAAGATTTAGGTTTCTTTGGTTTCAAAGTATCATAACATAATATGTCCAACGCAATGTTTTGGAATGCAATTAGTGAAGTGTACAAAAAGTACGATTCCCCCACCAGTACACCTACCAAACATCGTAATTGAGGAAATGATTTGTAGGCAAAGTCCGAATGTTTATAATTTGTCCAGTAAATTATATTTAATTACCAATAATTATGTGTAATCGACTTGCACCTATTGTGCCTTATTTTCATTATGGTGATACAGATGGACATCAGGATAATCAGTTCTACTTATTTGCATCTTTTTTTTTTGGGGGGGGAATGTACATTTGCCGACCAAGATTTTTGTGCTGACTAACCTTTAAAAAAAGGTGACATCATTAAATTCCTTGATTTATTTTTTGTAGAACCGTTGGGATCCTGGAGTTTGCATCCGAACAATGGACGCTCTGCTTTCTAAGATAAAGGAACTGGTCCCAGAAGATGATCCAAGGTAAGGGCTTACTTTGAATCACCGGGTCATTGCGTTACATGTACCACACCATTTGTAGATGAGTGGGGTTTATTTTAGAAAGATAACCCCCGACATTTCATGAATAAAGGGGGCAAGTTTTCACCGTAAATTCGGGTAACGCGACGACCCGACCCGATGCGATGACCCGATGATTCGAAGTAAGGTGAATCATCGGGTCATCGCGTCCGGTCGGGTGGTCGTGTTACACGGACCAGACCATTTTGTAGATGAGTGGGTTTATTTTTATAAAGATAACCCCCGACATTTCATGAATAAAGGGGGCATGTTTTCACCGTAGATTCGGGTAACGCGACGACCCGACCCAACGCGATGACCCGATGATTCGAAGTAAGCCAAAGTGAGCCTTTATTTAGATCTGTGGGGGTGTCGTGGTATATAGTGGTTATTCCTTAACTCTCATTTCTAGTGATCAGGACTTGAATCCTAGCCCGCCACTAACGTCCTTTGGCAAGACATGTCGTGGTATATAGTGGTTAGTTACTTAACTCTCATTTCTAGTGTTCAGGACTCGAATCCTAGCCCGTCACTAACGTCCTTTGGCAAGACATGTCGCGGTATATAGTGGTTAGTTACTTGACTCTCAATCCTGGTTATCGGGATTCGTCCTTTGGCAAGACATGTCGTGGTATATAGTGGTTAGTTACTTGACTCTCAATCCTGGTTATCGGGATTCGTCCTTTGGCAAGACATCTCGAGGTATATAGTGGTTAGTTACTTGACTCTCAATCCTGGTTATCGGGATTCGTCCTTTGGCAAGACATGTCGTGGTATATAGTGGTTAGTTACTTGACTCTCAATCCTGGTTATCGGGATTCGTCCTTTGGCAAGACATTAGTCCACATTTGCCAATCTCTATCCAGGTGTAAGGTAATTGCTGGGGCTGTAATAATTGCAGAGCCATTAAGAAGGACGAACATCATTGATGCTTATTAGGTTTCTTTGGGTTAACAAACTTACTATATTATCTTTGCCTTTCAAGACGACTACCCCCCCCCCCCTATTTCATCCCCGGAATTCTTTCCCTCGCGCAAACCTATAACTGTTGACACTTATTTTGGGGTACGCAGGATTTTATTCGAGGGGGGGGGGGGGGGGGGGGGTTAAAATTAGAAATTGGAAAATTATGCCGACCGATATTTCGTTCAGTAGGGGGGGGGGGTAAGGTTGTTTTATTTTTGTTTTTGTTGAGGGGGGGGGGGGTTCCTCCAAAACACACACATACAACAAATTGAGGGGGTTTTATTTTCCGTATACAAATTCAAATACATACCAGAATACAGTTTACAAATATAATACAAATCAAGAATTAAAAACGGCTGGATGGCTCTGTTCTTCCTAGATGTTCAGATAGCACATGGTGACACACATCGACATGGGGGGGGGGGGGTAGGGATAGGGTTAAAGTCTTGACCACTTAGTTCCGTAAAGACCATTTTAACCTTCCTGATGTATTATCAGAGGGTATAATCAGTGACGGATACGTGGAGGGGTTGGGGCACACGAATATGTAGGGCAAAACAACTTTGTCCTGTGCCTCAGATGTCATCAGTTGTTGATTCCTGGGGGGGGGGGGGGGTAACTCAGATTAGCCTATCTGATAGGCATCAGCAGAGGGCATCTCAAACTTCATACTAGCCTTCATTATAAAACAAAACGCAATTCCGATTACGTCATTCTCTCAATATCTTTCGGTCCTCCTCCTCTCTTTCTCAGTTCTAGCAAGCAAAGAGTTCTCATAATCAGCTCTGTAGACGGGGGCCCAGGAGTGGAACATCGCCTGTGGAACCTAACATTCAAAATCCGGGACCGGCTGCCGGAAGATCGGTTTGTAGAGGAAGACGAGCTTCAGTGCATCTTCGGGGGGCAATGAATAAAAAGCGGTGATAACAAAATTATTTGGTATTACTCCAACCATTAAAGGGTGACTCTTTCATTTATCTAATCCAACAAAATATACAAATGTAAAATGTATAATAGGCCTAGAGTAAAGCCTGTGTTTATAGACCACCCAAGGGGGACAAGAAAAGTATCAAATGGTCTTCGTGTTCAAGTTCCATTTGTAAACGTTTCATTTATTCATAGTGCATGGGAAATGAGATATGAGACTAGGCTCTTCAATGGACACTCTACAAGTGCCCGAGGAGAGGGGAAGGTAATAAGCCATACAGCTAGTGTTGTAAATTGACAAAAATACACAAAATAATACTTTTCATTGCTCAGTATTGATGTATCTCAAATAAATAAGTGCAATCTGACATTCAATTTCTTACAACATCTGTCGGAGTTACTTTGTCTACTTAGCATACTCCTTAAAGCAGGAGTGGAGATCAATTTACCATAAAACAACAATAACACATGAGCAATAACTCAATTCTTTCTGTTCATATGTTATTGTGAAATAATGTTCTTTATTTAGGTTCGCACAAATTAATAATGACATGAAAACACACAGTTTATCATTCTTTTGGTTGTTTCTAGCTTCACACACTTCAACATTTTTTGTTTCTTCCAATTAAAAATAATTAGAAGAAAAAAAGACCCTTTCTTCTGTTGTATATATGCCAGCTTTATTTCTCTCTGATTACGTAGAGAAAAACCTTTCTGGGTTTTGTCTTTGCTTCACATATACGTAAAAAGTAAACTTCTTTCAAGAACTACTTGCCATTTAACTGTCATGACCTTAATTTTAAATATTTGTGAATATAATATGTATAATTAAAACCACAATAACTATTTCCAATAAAAATCGATTATGATAATTGTTATTATTAACTTTTTATTAATATCATTTTGGTTATTAATATTATTATTATCATTAATTGTCATTATTTTCAATGTTATTATTACTAATATTATTTTTCGGTTTCCTCCCTGTCTGAATATGGAGGCCGCTTCCCCGAGTACAAGAAATCTATAGTCCCATTGGGGCAGAATAAAGGGAGGAGGTGTAGCCCCTACCCCTGTATCGTATTCCTTAACATGGTTGTTCTCTTTTAACAAACATGAGCCTTCATATCATACACAAGAATGATAATGTTTTAAATTTAAGGTTCAAGTTTAAAGGAGCATATATTGTCTAGCAGTCTTTGCATTTCACAGATATTTCAAACATTTTAATCAGTGCCTCCCCCGTTTAAAACCCAGCTACTCAATATGCACCTGACAATAATTATTGTGATAACTTATTTTGCTCGTCAAAGACCATATTTTTCGGCAATGCCAATAATGTATTCTTATTTTTATTCTCGAAAGGACGTCACTTCAGGCATGCTTAAGACGACCCCATTGTTGTATATACCTTGTCATTATCATACATCTAAATGTAATATGTTGATGTATATCGAATCGAACTTAAAATTAATATTTAATGAAATACAACTAAAGCTAATATTTGTTCTCCTAATCAAGCGCTCACTCTGTACCTCGGCTGATAATGGGATATATTTAGCGCGACTGTTTTTCCCCACTATCTGTTATTTCTCCTATAATGTAACTAATTGCCTATCAATTAGACATTTTAGTCTAAATACCCTACGGGCGTATGTCAGTGTTATAGTCAACGCCATAGTTATTTCCCGCAAATCAACTGGATAAAACGACGATTGACATGGCCATGGCTCAAGTAAGTTGATCAGGTTGTACTTTTGTACTCAATCGACTTTTCATTAAAAAACAGTCAATAATTACTAAGTAAGGCACGTTGTTCCTTTTTTCACCAATTTAAGGAGAGGTTTGCAGACATTATCTTTGTTTCATGCATGAGAAACAATTAGGGAAAAAATAAGTTAAAAATAGAAAATATAATAGTAGGAGAGAGAGAAAGAAAGAGAGAGAAAGAGAAAGAGAGAGAGAGAGAAAGAGAGAGAGAGAGAAAGAGAGAGAGAAAGAAAGAAAGAGAGAGAGAGAGAGAGAGAGCGAGAGAAGGGGGGGGGAATCGAAGGACATAGAGGAACAGAGCGAAAGAGAAGCAAAACAGGGTGTAGGGGGATGATACACTTAACATATTATTTTCCTCCTTGATCCGCCTGATAATCTTTTTTTTTATGGTATAGTGGTACGAAGGGGAGGGAGGGGGAGGGTTTCGGCTATAAGAGGCAAGAAGGGAGATGATTCAATGATTCTAAAGCTCATGGCCCCGTTTTCTGGGTTCCACTACTCACTCATCCCTTTAAGAAAGGTTGGGGGCTCATTATATATTCATGATAAATTTCATTCTGTACCTTTCTTTTTACTCTCAATAACTTTTTTTTAAACTGCTTTAATTATTAAATGCTATTATTTTGTCATAAAATGTTATTATGCATTTAATGCATTAATTGACTAAAACATCGGTGCTTTAACAAAAATATACTTATTTCAGTTTCTGTGTAATCATTTCATAATTCACATATTCAAGTGGAATACAAATTATGTTGAATGGAATCGAATAAAGATGACGGAAATAGAAAGAAATACATATATATATATATATATATAATTAATATTTATTCTATAGCACACAAGGCGTTATTTTATGTCTGACGTAGGACAGCGTCAATAAAAATGATAGTGTATTTTGACGCACCACAAGAGAGAGCGACATGGAACACGTATAGTGATTGGAGTTTGATTGGCGCAAGGGTAATAAATCAATCGAAATTACACCTCGCGTGCAAGAAAGACATGTTTATCGATTTTATCATTGGAATGAAATCGTTACGGAAGCTTATAAGTGCCAACCAGATGACGAGATGAGAAGACAAGAAGACAGGAAGACAAGTTAATGACGAGAAGTCGTGATGTTGGAACTCGGCAAGTCGACTTGTTTAGGACAAGAAGACAAGATGACGAGTTGTCGAAACTCGAAACTTGATTAAGCACTCGTTGATGTATAGGCTACCGGTAAAACGTTTTCAAGGGGGGCATATGACTTATTTGTATATAAGTTAAAATATTTGATGTTTGCGCCCAGATTTGATTTGATCCCAAACAAGCCGACTCGCCGGGTTTCAACAACTCGTCATCTTGTCTTCTTGTCCAACAAGTCGACTTGCCGAGTTTCAACAACTCGTCACCTTGTCTTCTTGTCCCAAACAAGTCGACTTGCCGAGTTTCAAAAACTCGTGATCTTGCCTTCTTGTCCCAAACAAGTCGACTTGCCGAGTTTTAACAACTCGTCATCTTGCCTTCTTGTCCCAAACAAGTCGACTTGCCGAGTTTCAACAACTCGTCATCTTATGTTCTGGTCCCAAACAAGTCGACATGCCGAGTTTCAACAATTAGTCATCTTGCCTTCTTATCCCAAACAAGTCGACTTGCCGAGTTTCAACAACTCGTCATCTTGCCTTCTTGTCCCAAACAAGTCGACTCGTCGAGTTTCAACAACTCGTCATCTTATGTTCTTGTCCCAAACAAGTCGACTTGCCGAGTTTCAACAACTCATCATCTTGTGTTCTTGTCCCAAACAAGTCGACTTGCCGAGTTTCAACAACTCGTCATCTTATGTTCTTGTCCCAAACAAGTCGACTTGCCGAGTTTCAACAACTCGTCATCTTGTGTTCTTGTCCCAAACAAGTCGACTTGCCGAGTTTCAACAACTCGTCATCTTGTGTTCTTGTCCCAAATAAGTCGACTTGCCGAGTTTCAACAACTCGTCGTCTTGCCTTCTTGTCCCAAAGAAGTCGACTTGCCGAGTTTCAACAACTCGTCATCTTGTGTTCTTGTCCCAAACAAGTCGACTTGCCGAGTTTCAACAATTAGTCATCTTGCCTTCTTATCCCAAACAAGTCGACTTGCCGAGTTTCAATCTTGCCTTCTTGTCCCAAACAAGTCGACTTGCCGAGTTTCAACAATTCGACTTCTCGTCATTTAACTTGTCTTCCCGTCTTCTTATCTCGTCATCTGCTTGGCACTTATAAGCTCCCGTATATCGTGCTTTCTTTTTGACGCTCCCGACAACACATCTCTCTCCAATATCACACGTCCTGAGTTGATAATGCTCAATGTAAACAAATATTTTTCGACAGGATGACGTCCGTATAGACGGACACAGAATAATTGGCACCTATTCGTCTACCGATGAGGTGGACTATGTCAATGATGATCGAAACAGACGTTTTTATTTGGATCCCGGTAATGAGTTCAACTTCAATTATGAGGAGGCCTTTGAGGGTTACACGACCAGCAGAGAGAGGGCTAACGTAGAACTACCAAAAGTCGGAGAAAAATACAAGTGGATGCGAGATCATCGGCAGGTACTGATAGACAATGGAATTTTGGACACAGACCAATCAAGGTTAGATTCATGTTATGATTCATAATCTTTGTCATGCACGCTTAAATATTTTTAGGTTCAATTAGAAAATAAAGGATACCCGGCACATTTCCCTAATTCATTTTCTGATTATGAACCTCTGGAATAATGTAACAAACATTAGGAATAATGATCTCTTCTTAATTTTTGGAATTATTTACCTTCTGGAATGGGAAATTTGTGTTTTGAAATAACGAAACCTCGGAATTATAAACCTCCGGAAGAACGAACCTTCGGAAAAAACAACAACTTTATACAAAGCTGTCTTCATTTTCACCCCTTCTAAATATAGCTTATCCCACAAAGGAATGATACAGAAACAATAAAAAACTGTCTTTTTTTCGGGGTCAGATTGAACGTGGATTTTGTTTCAGATCGGAATGTGCTTTGCGGCATTTTGAAATTTGGAGGACAACAATACTGGCACATTGAACTTGCCGTCACTCTCTACAAAGGTACCTACCACTTCTGTAAAACGAAGGATAAAGCAGAACGTCAAGATGAAGGCGCTCGGCTGAGAGCAGCATCATCCAGGCTCCTTCTTAAGTATGTGACGAGCAGTAAGTATGTTTTTCTTTCACTTACATTTATTTATGCATCCAACATTGTGATTCATAACATCATGAATTCACTTTTTCGGACATTTCGTTCGTTCTTCCATTCATAATAATAGTATGTAATATATAAATTCATGATAATATATATATATAGCGCTTAATACATTGACGATGCCTGTAAACGCTTAAAAGTAAATACCCCTGTCGTCGGATTTGGGCTTGCCCGCACACAAAGTATGCATATTCTCCACTCCCTGGGGAACATTTCAGCCAGCGACCATCTTACAGACACTTACAATGCTGAGCAAACTACACACTACTACAAATTAACGTTCGCATTCTACCTGTACCCATATAACATCTGGGTGGAGAGTGGCAAATGTAGATCAACGTTTTGCCCAAGAACGTTGGTGCATATTGCTCCGGTTGTCTCATTTTCGCTCGCTGGACGTATATAGCAGACGACAATCGGCGGATTAGACGACACTTGGTAGTGAATTCGTATGTGAGATTGCTTTGCTCAATATAAAATACAAGAACATTTTCCATATCTTTAAACTATCATTGATATCTGATAATTTACAGTTATTAAAATAAACCTACCAAACTACATAATACAATGAAATACTTGACTTAAAGTAGGGGAGTTTGATGTGGTGCACAATTTCACCCCTCTGTAAATAATCGAATAGTCCATGGCGATCATGAATATTCATGTTTTTGCTTACCTCGGCAAAATGTTTGCTTATCTCAATGGACAAATTACGGTGGGGGGGGGGGGGGGGGGGGGGTTGGATGAAATGGACACAGTGAACCGATCAGAACTGATCTATTAATAATTCATGCTTCTTATCCTTCGTGTGCTTGACCTAAAACCTTACAATCGCTTGGAAAACTGAGTCCAAAGTTCGACTTGTTTCACATGGCGAGCTTGCAACCTATTTTGATCAAATTACGGTGGGTGAACTTTCAAAAGTCAATGGGACATGAGGGCTCCAATGAAAGAGCTAGTGATAACGTACGTCGGGGTGGATGTGCTTTTCGTTAAAAAAAAAAGAAAGAAAGAATTTTAAACGATTTTTTGGGTAAAATTCCATAGGCTAACATGTTAGGCTGCTGACTCAAATGAGACTAAACGAAGCTATATGCCGGGCGAAAATTTGAACCCTGTACCTTGTGATCCACAGTCCGGTGACTTATCCACTACACTTCTCATTACCTCGTACACTTGTATGTTCATTCATTATAATCTTCATCCATACTCATTCATCATTCGCTTCTTTATTCCCTTACTTCTTATTTATTCTACACTCTATAAAATGAGAGTGCACAATTCTAACATTTTCTGACAAGCTAAAAAAAAAAGGTTCATTAGCATTTTTTATTTTGCCGTTTGCCCAAAGAGGGGGGGGGGGGGCACTAAAGCCAGCCTCAACAAAGCTGAGTTCTTGTTTAAAGGTACTATGTCCCTTTTGCAGCCCACCTCAAATTCTGTAGAACTTTGCAGGAATTATGAATATGTCATGTATGTCCTATCTGTAAAATGTAAACGTTAGCAGTGTCCTCATATTCAAATTATGCAAGGAAAACCGTTTACTTGCTAGACTTCACTGTCAGACACTATTGAGTAACTGACTGGCCTTTTTTCTTCTTTGGTAATAACATACATGAAAAGAGTTGTAAAGGGTACATGAGCATTTGTCTACATCAATAACCCACTTCTTGTGATGGCCAAGATTAAACTGATTGAATCTTTGCGCAGCATAAAACGTATGACCATTCGGTACAATTGTTTGAAAATCAAGACTATTACTTTTGGGCTCTATAGCCCTAAAGTCGATTTGACAATTAATAGTCATTATTTTCCCACTTGAAGACATTTTCAAGCCCCACCTTTTTTAGGGAAGTTCTAAATTAGTATTATCTTTCAAATGCTGTTGGAATTTAACTTTTTCATTTTTTTGGCCTGCAAATGGGACATAGTACCTTTAAGACGGAAAATGCCTTCAAGTGCATGGTTATTGCTCTTATTCTTATTCATGCCATTTCTAGTGCCCTTTTAGAACCTAAAGTTGCCACAGGTATGAAGGTAATTTTAGACCCCCAATTGTGTGAATTTAGATTGAATACGATCATACCAAGTCAGCTCCACTTAAAAAAAATACGGGGACCGTTTTTTGAACGGCTGGTTCAAAATAACAGAATATTTGTGGGGCACCACAAATATTAGAGATGATTATATTTATGGATATTTCAGCCGTCTCTGAACCGATTTTGATCAAACAAAGATGATTTCGTCATTCGAATTGTACATTCTTTCAAATTTGACACTCACCTTTTTCATTTGTGTTTTGTGTAGCGCCCTCTGCAACAAAACTCAACTATCCCTTTAACACATGATTATGTTCTTTTTGTAGTAAATATGAAGAAACTTACGAGCATTTTATTTTGTCTTTGTGAGAAAATAAAACCAATTTGGGAAGAGTGAGGGAATTTATTTAATTTAGTAGAGATTACAAATATAAATTGGAAAGGTATCCATGTAGGGAAAGTTGAGTTAAACATAGGGAAGGAACAGTTATTAAATCATATATATTTTGATAAAATATATGATATTTATAGATAGTGAAAATAGAAAAAAAACACCAACTTATTTGGAGATTAAGAAAAGATTATTAGAAAATAGAAAGGAGGAGAAGAAATTAGCTGGGGACCGAGGTACACTCACATATCATTTTAGAAAGTGTTAGACAGCTGAATGGGTGTAATGACGATTTCTTGGAAGTAATTCTTATTATCTCTAATGGCATGGCAGGATTTCTTCTTGCCACAACTCCGAAATCAGAAAAAATCATATGAATTGGATCCTATTAGTCTTTAGATTACAATCTTGAAGGTTCTGAATTGCTAAAACTCGAGAGCGTATGGGGGCTCTTCCCCTGAACCCCATCGGGAATGGTTCGCGCTTATGGGCACGCTCTCGCAGTGTACTAAGAATTAGAAGCTGGTGAGTTTCAAGGAGAACATTACATAAAGGCCATCTTGAAATTTTTTCTTAATTGCTAAAAAGAGTAACCGAGGGCTTCGCCCCTGGACCCCGCCGTGGGCTCTGTCCATGCTACCCGCTAGGAGCCCTTAAGCGGGACCCTTGACCACCCCCTATCTTTTGGATCCGCCGCTGATATGAATCATTCGATTTAACTAATAAACGGATTGTATTGATGTCATTTTGCAGAAATAATGATAACAAAGAAATATTTCGTGTTCTTGTCCTATATCAGTGGATGGGCTAACCCCAGACGAGGCGCCTGTCCCCGCAAACGAGAATGAAAGATTCTTTGCTTTGACGACGGTCAACTGCGGGAATCACAGCTTGCTTGTGCGTGGTGAGATACAGGCAGAAAAGAGAATCACCCCTGATGAGCCACCTCCAGCATTGCCAAGCCCAAGAAACTGTCTGAATGTCCGCTCGAGGGAGAAAGATCAACATATAAAATCGTAAGATAATTACGGAGCCCCAGGAGGGACATAACAAATAAAACTAATGAATTCATGACGAAACAAAAAAATAATATAATTATAATCGAATTCAATTTTTTTTTCTCGAATTTTAAAGTTTTTGTTATTTGTCCTCGCCTGATTTTCTTTTAAAATGTCCCTTCCGGGGCCTTTTGGATAAAAGTCTATTTTCGTAATTTAATTAAATAGACAGGTTTCGTAACATATTGACATTTTATGCATAAGGTTTAAACATATCTTTTTCCTGACAACCTGAAAGCTAGTCCGAGGCTTTCCCTACTTAGCAACATAAAATGTATGCAGACTGAATTCCAGGTATTATAGTTCATTTATTAATAACAGGATAATGAAATTACTCGTCACGAGGTCCCCAGGAAAAAAATTACATGAGTTTAATTATAATTAGAAAACCGTTTTATTTAACGAAAACTTCACATGAAGTTGAGCGGGTCTTTATGAAACGTAATAAGTTTGATTTATCTCTGGATAATTTGACATAATAATGTAAATGTACAACTGCCGTAATCAGTTACAACAGATGAACAGTGGTCCTAATTGGTCCCTGGACCTTATCATTAAAAAGAGGATGGTTCCTGAGACAACTCTTTGTTGTATGAATTTGTCCTTTGGAGGGAGGGAGTGTGTGTGGGGGAGAGAAAAGATTTCCAGCGAAATAAACCAATAAAGTGCAAATTTCATGGAAGGAGTTTCCTACCACCCAAGGCGGATATCTTGAAGAGCGTCCGTGGACTTCTCCCCAAGACCTCCAAAAGGGTTCTGCCTCTTCATCACAGAGGCCTGTTCTCTAGGGGCTTTAGGGTAAAAATTAAGAGTTCAAGATTTCAGATCAGGCGCGCAAAGAAAATTGTAAAACATTAAAAAAAAAACTCTCTCTCTTTCCTTCCCATTGTCTTTCTCTCCCAACCCCTCTCTCTCTTTCCGCCCTTTCTCTCCCCATCCCTCTCTCCCTCCCTATCTCTTGTTTTCTTTCACTTACACCACCATCGAAACTCGTTAACTGCAATCAACACCATTTTTTTTTAATGAAATAAAAACTGTCCCGTTCTCCTCTCTCCCTCTCCACCCCTTCTCCGCCCCCGCTTCGCCGTCTTTCTGTCCTCTCTCCCTTCTGTCTCTCTTCGTCTCGTACCGCTATTCTCTCGCCCGGCCTCCACCCTTTTAAATGTCTTGATCGTTCTATCTTCCCTGTTAAATCATCTTAGTATGAAGGCCTTAGCCTGGTGGGCACCGAATAAGATTGCGGGCATTCCTGAAACCCGTTATGGGTTGCGAGACGACGAACGCAGAACCATCCAGAGAATCGCTACCATACAAACCGACAGACTGGCGACGTCTAGATTTACTGAGGTGAATTTTCGTAATAACTAGTTGCGTACGGGGAGAGTGGGCTTGGGGGGGGGGGGGTGGGGGGGGGGGGGGGGTATTCATAAGTGGGTAGTTATCGTCAAAGCAATACTGGTTAAGGTAACAAGAGCTGATTTTTTTATTTGCATGTAGAAGGTCATTATACATGTAGAGTAGCAATGAGGAATAAGTTTATTTATTCAGCTATAGGTACATTTCGTTGACATAGCTAACAGATTCGAGTCACGTATTTGTGTTTTCCCATTCGTTCATATTCATATAAGTGCATAGATTTTCATAATTTGTTATATTCAGCAAGATTTAGGTTTATTTGGTTTCAAAGTATCATGACATAATTATGTCCAATACTATGTTTTGGAATGCAATTAGTGAAGTGTAAAAGTTGTGTGCTGACCAACATTTAAAAAAAGGAGACAATACTACATTCCTTGATTAATTTTTTGTAGAACCGTTGGGATCCTGGAGTTTGCATCCGAACAATGGACGCTCTGCTTTCTCAGATAAAAGAACTGGTACCAGAAGATGATCCAAAGTAAGGGCTTACTTTGAATCACCGGGTCACCGCGTCCGGTCGGGTAGTCGTGTTACACGGACCAACCATTTGTAGATGAGTGGGTTTATTTCATAAACATTACCCCCGACAGTTCACGAATAAAAGGGCATAATTTCACCAAAGGTCGGGTAATTAACGCGACCACCCGACCCGACGTGATGATCCGATGATTCGAAGTAAGCCAAAGTAAGCCTTTATTTAGATCTGTTGGGGTGTCATGGTTTATATAGTGGTTATTACTTGGGGGTGGGGGGGGGGGGGGGGGGGGGGAGGGGGGGGGGGGGGGTGGGGGGGGGGGTAGGGGTAGGGCTTCAGTCTTGACCACTAAATTGCATAGAAAAACTTTTAACCCTTCCTAATGGATTAACAGATGATGTCATGGCCCCATGTGCCCTCAGGCAGGTTACGCCTATGACCATGCCACTATAATCATTGACGGATGCATGTAGTGGGTCGGGGAAGAGGTATATGTTAGAAAAACAACTATGCCCATGTGCCTCAGTTATCATCAGTTGTTGATTCTTGGGGGGGGGGGGGAGGGGTGAACACGTATTAGCCTATCTCAAGTTCCATACTAGCCTTCCTTATAAGGCAAAACGCATTCCGATGACGTCATTCTCTCGCTATATTTTGACCCCCCCCTCTCTTTCTCAGTTCTTTCAAGCGAGCCGTTCTCACAGTCGGGCCGAACCGAACATTCGAAATCCGGGACCGGCTGGAACGAGATCTGTTTGTTGAGGAACACGAAATCCGAAGCATCTACGAGGGCAATGAGTAATAAGCGGAGTTAAACAAAAATGTATTTGGTATCACCCCCACCCAGGCGCGTACACAGGGGGGGGGGGGGTTGGGGGGGGTAATTTTTTGTGTGTAAACCCCCCCCCCCCTTAACCACCCTAAACCCCCCCTTTTGGATATTTTTTTTTTATAAAAAAAAAAAAAAAAAAAAAAAAATTCCCATGGCTGACCTAAAAAAGGTGACCTTACCCCCCCCCCAAGGGAGCAAAATGTCAATTTTTCAAATTTCGAGACCCCCCCTAAAAAAAATTGTCCTCTTACCCCCCCCCCCCCCCTCCCTCCCCCGCTTATTCAGCGGTCGGCTGAGTCGTTGCAATTTTTTTGGGACCCCCCCCCAAAAAAAAAAGTGACCTCTTACCCCCACCCCCCCCCCGCTTATTCAGCGGCTGGCTGAGTCGTTGCGAAATTTTCGACGCCATTTATAATGTTAACCCCCCCCCCCCTTGAAAAAATTCTGCGTACGCGCCTGGCTGGCTATAATGACTGCCATGCTGAATTGTCTTCATTACACTGATATATTACATTCTCCTCTATCATGTTTTGGAAAACAGGTGAAGATAGTCAATGGACGGATCCAGGGGGGGGGGGGTGGGCACAGTGCGCACTACCTCCCCCCCCCCCACTTAGCGAATTTGCGGCCGGCGCGATTTCCAAGTTTTCGGGAGCAAAAAAAAAATTACTCCCCCCCCCCCCCCCCCGCTTATTCAGCGGCTGGCTTAGTCGTTGCGATTTTTTGGGACCAAAAAAATAATATATAAGTCCTCTTACCTCCCCCCCCCCCCCCACGGGAAGAAATTCCTGGATCCGCCCCTGTTTATATAATTTTGACAATATTTTTAAGCTACTTCTGATAAATCAATACAATGTGCAAATTTAACAAGTTATTAATTAATCCTTTGACACTAAATTACACGTGAAATTCCTTATACAAATTTAACTTTGTACACTTTAAATTAAATGATGTGAATTAACCGATTAGAATTATTAATTTATGCTTTTTCTTTTGCGATATTTGTTTAGGGGCGTTAAAACATTTCCTCCCTGAATGAAAATGTTGTCAGTTTTTACAGCAATGTTTCTTCCGAGAAAATTTGGTCCATGGATTATAAAGGGAAAAATTGACCAAACCTTTAAGTGGGCGTCTTACAACCCATTTCGATTGACATTTTTTGCAATGTTTGTGTTTGTCCAGTCATACTCATTTTTACTAACAGTGTTTTGCGCATAAGGTAGATGGGGTGGAAATCGACCCGACTTTGGGTCTGAGGCTGAACTCGACGGGTATGTTCAGGCTGATAACCCTTTCAGGCACTTACTCTAACCCGATCAATTCCTAGCCGTTGGAGGTAATGTAATAGGGACTTTTAGATTTGCGTGGACTGATACGTGTGACGTCCATTCAAGGCAGTGCATTACAAGACGTCGATCGTAGCACAGACCTATTGGCCCGAATTCACAAAGCAAGGTTGAGCTCAGACCAAGGTTTGACCTCAAACCTCCTTTTGTTTCGCCAAACCTCCTTTTGTTATTTACAAACCTGGTTTGTAAATAACAAAGGGAGGTTTGGCGAAACAAAAGGAGGTTTGAGGTCAAACCTTGGTCTGAGCTCAAACCTTGCTTTGTGAATTCGGGCCATTGTCTTCGTGCGAGTCTAAAAGTCCCTAATATCGCCCTGTAGCCGGTCTGGTGTCGGTCTCCTTGGTGTGACTGAGATATTTGGGGGCAAATGAAGCGATTATTTTGGGACAGCCTCCTAGCCTATATGCATTGCTCCAGACAGAGTTTGTCATTTCGTAAATACGTAATAAATACATAACCGGACTGTAGATGCAATGGTTCGCGATTCGAGTCCATGACAATGCGGTTTAGTAAAGTACTAAAAACAAACTTTGTATTCGGATGATTTTTGGATTCATATGAATGTAGTTTTCATTATTCATCATCACCCTCATTCTCATCATGAACACCATAATTCTCATTTTTTCCCTCTTGTTCGTTTAATTATCAGTAATTTCATCGTCATAATCATCATCATCATTGTTATTTAATCCCTTATCTGCAAGGCTGCATACCCGAGCATCGGGCAGCAGTTCGTCCTCGCCAGAACCTGAAAGTATTGCCTTGCCCACATCAGATGATCGAAGCCTTCAAAGCTGGAAGGTTACAGAAGAGACTACCTTGCCATGCAGTTCACCATCGTTGCCAGACGATACAGAGCCAGAATTTCCAGACAAGCTTTCCAGTTCCTTCAAGGAAGATATGCCAGGTACTAGAGATCCTACCAAATTGAAGGGAACCCCAAAAGTAGCATGCCTTGAATATTTTCATATTTGTATGATAGATTTCATGATGAATTCTACTATCACTGCTATTGCGTCTTCTAGTACTTCTACTATTGCTTCTGCTACTACTATTACTACTACTATTACTACTACTACTACTACTACTACTACTACTACTACTACTATCACTACTAGGCATAATCATATCATTTTAAAGAGCATACTGTACTCCTGTGTGAAGCATTCCAGCCAGTCGTCGCCAGTCGGGGGGTAAGCGGACACTTTTTTTTTTGGTCTCAAATTTCAAAATTTGACATTTTTTTTCGTTTGGGGGGGGGGGGGGGTAAGGTCACCTTATTTAGGTTAGCCGTGGGTATAATTTTTTATTTTTTTTTATTAATTTTTTATAATAAAAAAAAAAAAAAAAAAAAAAGCCAAAGGGGGGGTTTTTAGGTTTTTTTTAGGGGGGTTTACATACATTAAAATACCAAAGGGGGGGGGGGGGGTTTGAACCCCCAAGGGGGGGTTTTTAGTTTTTTTTAGGGGGGTTTACATACATTAAAATACCAAAGGGGGGGGGGGGTTTGAACCCCCAAACCCCCCCCCCCCCCTGCGTACGCCCCTGGTTCCGGTAGTAGGTGAAATCTCTGAGAGCAATAGAATTAGAATTTCCTCATGACGGCGATCCTATATCAATCAATCATTTATTTCGAATGTTGGTTTTCGTGGTTCTAGGACAATAACCCCCAGGACAATCACCCCCTGCAAATTACCAACGGGACATTTACCCCCTAGGACAATAACCCCCGAGTATCCCCCCCCCCCCCGTAGGTGTAAACATGGAGTTTGGCCATATGCATCAAAAAGTGAAAAGGTTCAGTTATAATTAATGTTCATATCTATTTCGTCAAAGATGGATACTTTTGCGAAGGCGAATTCGACAGCAAAGGTGGAGTGATGACAGTTTCGTCCCATACGATGACCATCCCTCCAGGAGCGCTGGACACGCAGACCCCGGTAAAGATCACAATGAAAGTTCTGAGAGACGTACCAAGTGACATCCTTCTGCAGGATGACGAGACGGTTGTTACTTATGGTTTCTGGTGCCTACCCTGCGGATTGCGATTCGCAGCTGACAAACCGGTTACGTTGACGATACCTCACTGTGCCAAACTAATCGATCCTCATAGCATACAGACTGTATTGTACTCCTGGAGTCATAATGAAAAAGGTGAATGAGAATGAAGCATAATTTCATTTTCTTTTCATTACTACTATTAGATGATGAGTAAGAAGTATGTGAAGAGATAAGGAAAAACGATCGGAAGGTAGATGTCAAGGGTCTTTTCACGAACTCCACGATGGAATCTAATACGCCCTTTGCATTAGGGAAAGAGTCTTAAGTATACTATCGCAAAAGAACAAATCTTCTTGATAACAAGAATATTAGTAATTGCTATTACTTGATCAAAACTTGATTTGTTTCAAATAATATTTTACTGGAGGCGTCAGACCATTTATCTAATGTTGAAGATCAAGAAATACTTTTCAGTAAAATCTGCAATAACCTCTAGCCCCACAGGGAATTAATAGTAACACACAAATCAATCGGGACGTTGATTTTTTTTTCAAGAAGTTTAAAAACATCAAAAGCTACGTTTCTTACTTCTTACTGGTCTCAGTGAGGAAACTGCATAAGAGCAATACAGAAATTCCTCTAATTTTATTGAGATTTTCTCCACGACTGCCACATCGCGATGGTTATAACGGGCATAGTTAATTCAATAAAACCAAAGTCTCTATCTCTTCTTATCGGAGCTTAATTCACGTCTTCATCATTTTTCGTTGATGTCTTTTGAACAGAAGGAGATGAAACCGTAAAACCTGAACGCATACAAACACCACGGACCTGTCGGGTAACACCTCACAACATAGAGATCTCACTGGAACATTTTTCAGGAGGTTTTTTTGCCTTCTTACGGAGTTGGTTGTATATGGATGGAAAGGTAATGTCTGTTATGCCTTTTCTACCGAAGATGATGCCAATTTCCCGCAAATTGATGATGGAGCTACGAATGGTGAACAAACCACATGGAACATCTTGGGTAAATATCTGAATTCCAACTAAATGATTTTATTCCAATATTCATAGCTTTATTATATTTAAAGTTTTATTTCATTTCCGGAACACAAAATAAAAAATATAACAAAAACAAAGCTCAAACAAAAATAGCCGTGGTTTCGAACCCAGGTCACCGGATTACGAGACCACTGCTCTACCGACTGAGCTATCGCGCCTCCTACAATTCAATACAGAAAACAAAATCAAATCCATTTCATAACGATGCATGGAAAGAAAGGGACACTGATAATATACACTGTTCGTCATAATGGTGGAATAATTTTGACAATGATTTATTCCTAATAGATCTAGATAAAAGTATACATTCTCAGATTGTATGAATAATAATGTGCGAGTGCTTGTTTTTCGTGACTGCTAAAGCATGTGTGTATGCTAATCAACTAGGGGGCCTATACGTCCTTAAGTCATAACTGACTGTAATGAGGATTACTGCCTCATAAAAGGGCACTAATATAGCTGATCGACACGGTTTTTATTCTGGGGCATCAAGTTACGAGGCCATTGCTTAGCCACTGAATCATGACTGTACGCAGCGGGGGCTAGGGTACGTCGCCGCCCCACAAATACAAAAAAACTAAGAAAATGCAATAATTATCAATAATTTATTGCATTGCATTTGCAACATTTGCAATATTTATGTACTTATGTTTAATAATTTCATACCAATTAGTCTTTCCAGCAAATTTTGTCTTAATTCTGCATTACATTCATATAATACTCGAAGTTCTTCTAATTTTCATTTAAATAAAATAAGACTAAATATAACTAAGAAATCATTATATCTTAAAGGGCCACAATTGTGGAATAATATACCTCCATATATAAAATCTAGTCCATCAATTAACGTTTTTAAAAGGAGATATAAATCATTTTTAATCCAACAAAATAAATAAAGATTGATTATGTACACGGTCTGTTGTTGTTGTTGTTGTTGTTGTTTTTTCTTTCTTTCTCCCCCCTTCTTTAATCACATTCTCAAACAACAATATAATACTGCATTATACTTTATTACTGTTTAGGTGGCAGCACCAATAAAGCCCTTTGGCTTTCCTAGCTGTCTCCACATTCATATATATTTTTGTTGTTGTATTGTATTGTAAATGTTTCTCTTTAACTTGTACGCTATGTTTTGTATTTTATATGTTTGTTATGATGTTTTTATGATGAATGAAATAAAGTTCAATTCAATTCAATTCAATTCAATTTCCCCCCGGTCCCCAACATTAAAAATTCCTCTGTAGGGCAATGCATTATGGGTCAAGGCATGCCCATATTGAGGATTTTTTATCTTAGGGGTCGGGGAAAAATGCAATGAATTATTGAACATTTATTTCATTTTCTGTATTTTGTATTTGTGGGGGCGGCGACGTACCCTAGCCCCCGCTGCGGTACAGTCATGATTCAGTGGCTTAGCAATGGCCTCGTTACTGTAAGCTCCCAGGATAAAAACCGTGTCGATATGCTTCGTAAGTGCCCTTTTATGAGGCATTATTCCTCATTACTGTCAGTTATGGCTTAAGAACGTAGGTCCCCTAGTAGATTAGCATAGTAGCATACACATGTTTTAGCAGTCACGCAAAACAAACACTCACAAATTATTATTCAATAAAATCTGAGAATGTATACTATTATCTAGATCTAGTAGGAACAAATCATTGTTAAAATCTTTCCATAAATCGGGTAAAACAAAATTATTCCACCATTATGACCACAGTGTACAAATAGTCAAGGAATGGAACAATATTATGAATGGAACAATATTATATATAATATAATATTTCCATTCCTTGACTATTTTATAATAACATAAAATTAAAGAAAACATAATAGAATCCATCATACAATACTTTAAGTTCTATATCTTTCTTCTTTCTTCGACCACCCAAATAGCCTCAACTTAGGAACATCTACCCAACCCCTCCCCTAAGGACCCCTGACCACCCCATCTCTCCCATACATTCAAAGAAAGAGCAGAAACTGAACTTATTAGAATTGTGAATTTTTCTTCAAAGTTCAGATACTGCCCGCCAAATGACTTTTGGATTTTCTTCCTTCAAATTGTTTTTAACCACTCATGCGTGAAATATGCATCATATGAGTTTCGTCAAATAAAAGAGGAGGATCTAAGCTTTAAAATATATGAAATTTATTCATTATAATTATGATTAAGTTATGACAAAACATCGATAATTCTCGGTTTCGATTTTTCTGGGTCGCACTGTATATATAATTATATAAGTACAGAACTTATGCTCTACTCTTAATGTTTTCACAGAAAGATTTGCATGTTCTGGACAAGACTGCTAGGTATCAACCTGCGAAAGATGATGACGATGAGATGGTTGTCGAGGATGAAGATCTTCAAGTCAGTTTGAAACTTGAAGACAACATTCCTATTAACAAGGTGAGGTATAAACACTGCCAATAAATATCCAAGTAGCACCCAAGGCACACCTTAAAAAAAAATGCACACCGACTTTAAACCGCTTAATTCTTGGTCATTAGGGTAATGTGGTAAGTGTCGGTCTGGTGTCAGTCTTTTGTTGGTCTGGTGTTGGTCTGGTGTCGGTCTGGTGTCGTCTGTTGTCGGTCTGGTGTCGTTCTGGTGTTTGGGTTAAACCCCCCCTTTGGTATTTTTGTTTGTGTAAACCCCCCCCCATAACCCCCCCCTTTGGATTTTTTTATTTTATTTATTTATTTATTAATTAAAAAAAAAAATATATATATATTCCCATGGCTGACCTAAAAAAGCCGACCTTACCCCCCCCCCCAACGGAGCAAAATGTCAAATTTTCAAATTTCGAGACCAAAAAAAAAAAAAAAATGTCCTCTTACCCCCATCCACTTGACAATCAAATGCTCAAGGCGGAGCTTGTGCAAAAGAAGAAATACATGATAAATAATTATATACAAAAGTGCAATAGAAAAGGTACAGACATGAAAGGTAATGGTAATCAATTATAAGCTAAAATTAAACAGATATTTCTTAAGATTGTTTTTAACACTGACTTAAGTGCACAGGACGGAGTGTCCCCTTGCGCTCCTACGGGTGGTCTGCCTCCATTCATTTCTGTCCTGGGCTTGGTGTTGGGCAGCCTCCAGGCTTAATCCAGAGTCTTGGCGGATTTGGTCTTTCCACCTCAGGGGAGGACGTCCTGGTGGCCGTGGCACAGTAAAGTCATTGGTGTGGACTTGTATTGGTAGGCGTTCCTGTGGCATACGTACCACATGTCCAAACCATTTCAGGCGGCGGTTGGATTTTTCCTCATTTATTGTCTTGGAGATTTTCAATGACTTTCTGATGTCTACGCTTCTAATTTTATCTAGAAGATGGACTCCTGCTATTGTCCGCAGACATCTCATCTCAAAGGTCTCCAGTTTATCCCGGTCAGTTTTCCTTAGCGTCCACGTCTCAGACCCGTAGGTGGCTATAGGACGAATGAGGGCATTATAAATCCTGACCTTCAGGGCTCTTGAAATATCTTGGTTGGTCCATATATTGTTTCTCAGTCTGCCAAATGCCCAGGAAGCTAGATTTGTGCGTCTCTTGACATCTTTGGTAACCGAGGGGACTACACTTCCAAGGAAGACAAAGTCTTCTACCTTCTCTATAGGGTTGCCATCTATTGAAGTCTCCTCATCATCGGTTGTCATGATTCTGCATTTAGCTGTGTTGATTTTCATTCCCCATTCACCACAAACTTCCACCAGCTTGTTTGTTGATATTTGGAGTTTATCATAGATGAGTTCGAGTAGAGTGGTGTCATCTGCATAGCGGATGTTGTTAATGCGTATGCCACCCATCTGTACTCCACTGTCTAGGTTTTTGACATCTGCCATCACGAACTCTAGGAAGATGTTGAACAGACTTGGGGAAAGAAGACAGCCTTGCCTGACGCCTGTCTTAACTTGGAACCATTCCGTAACTTTACCATTTACGATGACAGCACATTTGGTCTGATCATACATATACTTGATGAGGTCAATCAGGTTCTTCTCAACTCCTATTGAAAGAAGGCACTTCCATAAAGCATCCCTCCAGACAGTATCGAATGCTGCTTTGAAGTCCACAAAATTCCAATGGATGGGGATGTGTCTCTCTTTGGCCTTCTCCAGCACTTGCCTGACAATGAAAATAGCATCAGTGGTTCCTCTGGAGCTCCGGAATCCACACTGCTCTTCCGATAAATGCTCTTCAATTGTTCCTTGAATCCTACTGAGCACCATCCTGCAGAAAACTTTAGCCGGCACTGATAGCAGTGTTATGGCTCGGTAGTTAGCTGGGTCAAGTTTATCCCCCTTTTTGTGCACAGGGGTAATAAGGCCTTTGCTCCACTCAACTGGTGTCTTGCCTTGCGTAAAAGCAGTGTTGATGATCTTCAGCAAGATCTGTGCCATTGCTGGACCACCAGCTTTCAGTGTTTCAGCTGCTATGTTATCAAATCCAGTTGCTTTGTTATTCTTTAGAGCCTTGATTGCAGCTTTAACCTCTTCCATGGTAAAATGAGAAGTCTGGTTTTCAGTAGGGGGAGGTTCAGGTATATTGCGAAGTCTGTTGGTGTCTCTCGGGAACTCTGTATTAAGATGGGTGCTGAAATGTTTTTAACACTAATTCGGCAGAACTGCTATCTTTAACTGTAATTCTACAGACCACGCTACCTCTGTAGACGTCTACTATTTTGTTTGAATAACTTTTTATTGAAAACTCAAGTGTGTTTGATCCTATTTAATCACAGGATGTCAAGTCGGAGCTACTCAACAGAACAAACAAGCACACTGAGTATTTTGACTTAGATCTAAACGACAGACCAGACGACTCATTGGTGATTCTCAAATTGAAGCAGAGTACATTGGAAATGGATATACAATTCAGGACACAGTTCTCGGAAGGTAATGGATATATACAAACCTCATTGGTTTCTAAAATGCCCATTTGTATATATGCCTACACAAGTCATAATAGACATAATTACCCACTGAAAGCCGCATTCAAGATTTTATGAAAGTTTGTTGTTCAACTACAAAAAGGGAATGTAATTTGTAATTTGTACTTTGCATTTTTCTTCATTTTAAATCCTCTAAATAACATTGGATCTCTCATTAAGCTTATCCTCACATTTAAGAGAGAAAGTCGGAGCAACTTATAATTCATTTCAATTACAAAGCAGATTAAAGAGATAACAAGAATATTATTTTGAGTATTCAATACTGTGAGGTGTTTCGTGTCTTATAAATCCTTATTCTTTCTGCATAGAACGCGATCATTCAGCATCGGAAAGTGCTTTACCATATCAAATATCAACGATCGGCTCATTAGATACAACAACATCCGATTCGGTGGACGAAGCAAGGTAACGATATCACGCTTATATATCAATTTCCTTACATTATGTGGATGAGAGGTGCAAATATTTCAATTTGGGGTGGGTGGGCGTCGGACTATTGTCTCGTAGAGGACAGGTGTCTCAGAAATTTCTTACAAGAATAATCATGTTTCCCCAAGCTTTTGATAAGAAAAGAAAATTGTCATCTGAACAGTCTTCCACATTTATCTGAGGGAGGGGGGGGGGGGCATGCTTATTTCAAGTGCATACTTAGGGCAATTTCTTACCATTCCTCGGTAGTGTCAATCTTGACTGGGTTTAACTATTTGTGATTCATGTCGTTACTGTCTCTGCTCCCTTTTGGAAGTTCCATTTCTTTATTCCGAAGGTTCGTTACTCTGAAGGTTGACAATTCCAAATATTCGTAATTAAAAAAACTGGAAAAGGGTTCGTTATTCCGAAAAGTGAAATAGTGTTCATATTTCTGAAGGTTCATAATTCCGAGAATAATATAGAACCCTGTATCTTTTTTCCGAATTACGAACCTTCTGAATGACGAACCCTGTTTCTTTTCCAGAGTTTGGGAAAACGGGTGCCTCCCCATTTAGTCCGTGATAGGCATATAGCATATAGCCAATCAAATTGCATGTCAATCTTTGTTTTATAGTGAAAACCTGAACGAAATAAGCGACTTGGATCTTGTAGAGTTAGCACAGCAACTAGGAAACCACGTCACAAGAGTTGCCCTTAATCTTGGGTTCAGTCATGATCGATGGAAGCAATTCAGCGACATGAACAGAGATGGCAGCTTAACCGGAACTATGAACATGCTCTTCGATTGGAAAAGGGACACGCTAAGAGAACTGCAGAGGCCGTCTCTAAGGGAAGCGTTAAAAAATTCAAAGTGTTTAGCACTTGCCGAAACCATATAAATATAAGTAGCCAAGCATTCTTCCACTCGAGAGTTTTAGAACTGAAAAGTTAAATGCCAAATTTAGAGTTTTAAACTTTGCTCAAGTTGTTAAGTTTGGTTATGATAGTTTTCACATGCAAACACCCTTGTTAAATATACGGTTACCATATCATAAGCCTCGCGATTTCTCCTCTTTCCCCGTCTAAGTAATTGTTCAACTCATTTTGTATTCATTTGATTAAAACAAAGAAATAGATGTTTGTTGAATCTGTATCTTTTGAAAGAATCTATTTCAACCCGAGCTGAGAGTAGGACAATAATATTTCGGAGCAAGATTTTCTCTCGTGATATAGAATCAGCTGATTTTTGAGTGAAAACGGATCATTATTCATGGTACAAATTGGGAAAAACTGATCTGATCGATTCCTTAATTCTCCCAACTATATTATTACAATTTAATTACATTTTAGGTGAATGGAAATCGTCACAAAGCAATAAAATGGCTCTACATTCCATTCCAGACATTTGAGTGTTGAAAAAAAAAATTATAGCCTGTTTTATGTCTTTTTTTCATGGAAAAACAGTTGGGAAATTCAAAAATGGTTGGGAGAATTGACTGTTAATCACTGTTAGAGGGTGTCATACATCGACTCCTTCAAAGAAAACCATAGATATCTTCGTGGTTTGAGAATTTTTTCAGGATTGTTTGCATGTCAGAGGGTTAGTACAGTAGAAGGAATATAGTAAGTAACATTTTATACAGAAATTAAGCAATTTTATCATCAACCTTCGACAATGTAACCAAGTCACTTTAACATATCTGCTTAAGAAACCAAGCAAAATAGTAGATCGCAGGGAGGGAGCTCACGGATAATTATTTATGGAAGAAAACTTCAAGTCTTTCGTCTTCTTTGTGCATCGCTGATCGTCAACGAAACGGAGTTAAGTCTTTTGTCAACCCTGTTTGTTGCTATGACAGGCATCCAGTGAAAAGGAGTTCGTTTAATAAAATTATGGAAATGTACATTTAATTTAAAAAAAAAAGAACTTTGTCATGAAAGGGCAGAAAAATGAATTTTCTGGAAGGTGTTGTTTTCTCTTTGAAATTCAGATATCGCCCGCCAAGTGACTTCTTGGTAACCTCTCTTCAAATTGTTTTTAAAGGTAAAGACCAGTAATGGTCATGCGATTGCATTGTGAAAGAAACGCTGTGGAATCGATCACAAAAGGTTGATCATCTAGCATCTAGCATCTGCAAGGTTCTGGAATCATCAAAATGATAAGAAATTTGGCCCATTCTTCGTAAACTTACAAGCACTATACACAGAAAGATGTATATGGGACTACCCTATATCTCTCACACGACCATGAGAGAAACAAATTTACCAAATATATGAATTAGTAGGCGGTTTCCCGGCAAATTTTTTATCATCATGTATTAGTCAAAACATATTTTTTCACATAATTGGTATTGAGAGCTTCCATTTCATTTTTTGAAATTGGGGCGTTTCCAATACTGGTCTTTACCTTTAATCACTCCTGCGTGAAATATGCATCATATGAGTTGCATCAAATAAAAGAGGAGGATCTAAGCTTTACAAATATGTGTCATTTACATTATTCTCGGTTTCGTTTTTTTTTCTGGGACGCACTGTATATACCGGCTATCATCGTGTTTAACATGTGTATGTTTATCAATCGGAAAATAAATTCTCTTTGAAATGTCAAAATATGAAGTATTGAGATGTATTCTGTTTTGTGATTTAATATCCTAAATTTGGAAAGATCAATCAGTTTATTATTCTTGTCATTTGTTATGTAACCGTTATGCTTGTCTGCCGGACCAAACTTCGCCAAGCTTGACTACAATAATACAATAATCCACGTAACGCGGGTCACCTGAAAAACTTCCTAAGTGTTAAAAGTTGGAAATCGGTTCAAGTATATACATATATTATGTATGATTTTTTTGTATGATAATAACAATGTCTTTGTTCTCTTTTGTTGAGCAAGGGATATCGCATTTTGGTCAGGTTCTCCTTCCTTTGCGTTATCAGCACTTATGCATTGTAAAAATGAATTCTGCGATGTACATTTTGATGTTCATGGTTTATGATATATAAACAGCGGTTTAATGATAACTTGCCAATCGTACTTAATCTTGTTTTTGTTTTCAATTTTTAGCTGGAATTTTGACAGGGGAGGTAAGAGGACATATATATATTTTTTTTTGGTCTTTGGTCCCCCAAAAATCGCAACGACTCAGCCAATCGCTAAATAAGCGGGGGGAGGGGGGGGGCACTTTTTTTTTTTGGGGGGGGGGGGGGGGGGGGAGGTCCCAAAATTTGAAAATTGACCGATCGTCATTTTTTTTCCGTTGGGGGAGGGTAAGGTCACCTTTTTTAGGTCACCCATTAGCATAATTTTTTATTTTTTATTTTTTTATTCAAAAAAAAAAAGGGGGGGGGGGTTCCCTCAAAAACACATACATTAAAAAAATGAAGGGTGGATCATTCGATAAATGAGACCGGACGCCGCTTGTAAATTGCATAACTGTTTTATTCAATCTGTAATCAAAAAGAAGATACAGATAGAAAATCCGGTGTTAGCATTCAGATATTCAGTCATAGAGTTACACACAAGATATTTCATTGAATGGTTCACTGTATGTCTTGCCAAAAATCTCAACCAAAAATTAACTCCATGATGATCAGAGCACAAGCATGTGCATATACATGCAACGCCTTAATCCAATAGCTTGTCACATACACCTGTCAAAGTGACTTTCACAACTGACCTAAATAATTATGCGCAGAAGCAAACATGACTTCCTTTGCATTCAATCCACCTTGCTAAATAACTGTTGCTGATTTTCAAACTCAGCCAAAATGAGAATTTATCAAACTTGTAAATCTCCTTTCCTTTTGATACAACCAAATGACCAAATTATTCTTTAGAAATTTGCATACAATTTATGCGCATTCATTAAGTGTTTTCTTTTATGAATTTATACAAATAGCATGGCATTCTTTAATTTGCCAAGACTAAACCTTTTAATTCATACACTTGCATAAATTGCCTGTTATACGTACATGTTTACTTTCTCCAAATAAACCAAATTCTTTGTTCATATGAGCAACCAAAGTTCAATATGCATGCAGTATTTTTACAAACTAAATATCAGGTCCTAGACACTTCACTTTGTGAATGACCCTAATAGCAGTGACCTACTTTTTGCAAGCCAGATTTCATGCATGGCCTGGTGAAATTAACTCTTACTCTTAAAACCAATCTTGGTTTTCATCATTTTTATGTAAATAAGCTATAATCAAATATCTCACTCCATTTACACTCACTTCTAACTATATCTGTGCAATACTTTGTGTCTCTGCGTTAAATTACAATTTCCACTGAATTTACGGCTTTTCGAAATAAACAACACCTTTCACTTGACCGATAGACGTAAAGTCTTAACAGTGCGCACAATGCCCTATTTGAAACTGTACGCACATACCAAATTAATCTGACACGTTGACACAAAATCTTGCACAGTTTATATCTCAACATTGAATTAATCTACACCTTTTTATCCTTCATTAAACAAGTATTGAGTATTTCATGATTTAAACTTACTCTATGGGCGGCGGTAAACTCTACGTAAAAGGACAAATTTGGGGACTTTCCGTCCCACCGGAATACTCGTACTTTGACTTTCTCTGGAACGTAATGTGTCTGCAAAAAAAAACTCATGTTACGGTGTCTTCAAGTTTCAAACAACATTTAAAAAACAGATCAAGAAAAATGATTAAAGAAACTGCTGTTTCAATGAAACAAAGGGGTTTAGGCCCAACGCCCCCCCCCCCCCCCTGCGTACGCGCCTGAATGAGAGTATGGATGTATGTAGCGTCTGTGATGTCTCTAAAGCAATGTATACAAATAATGAAATGTTACCCCAGTCATGGATTGCAGGCTTGTTCTAGTCAGGCACCTTTTCAGAGACGCTCACAATGCTGAACAAACTATCGCATCCTACCAGGTGCAACAAGATTTAGCACTAGGCTGGAGATAAGATGTGTAAATAATTAATGTTTCAGGATTGCCGTACCGGGATCAAACCCACAACCTTCGCAACTCCTAGTCGAGTGTTTAAACCTCTGGTCTACTACGCCTCTACTTGAAAGGGAAAGAGCAGCTATTTTGTAGATCCATGCTTTTTTGCCGATACAATCATTGAAATGAAAAATAAACCTTTGCCTCAACTGCACTTGCCCATAATCATTTATTTTATTTCTTTCTCCTAAAAATAAACCTCGAAATTTCTATTGCACTGAACAGGTGGTTTGTGGCGAGTAAATAAAAAAGACAATAACATATCACATCATTTAACATAGTAAATCCCCCCTCCCCTCCCCCCCAGCCAAACGAAGGTAAGGGGATTAATATGACTTTGTTTTTCAATGTGTTTAATCGAGAAAATTATGCCCTCTCACCAAAAATAAGTGAAACTAATACAAATATAAAATAGAATTTAGAAAAATGGCAATGAATAAAAATAATGCAATTACCATTTCCTTCTCCCCACATGCACTCTGCATTAATCCTGGTTGTGCCACTTGACGGAGGTTTAATGTGACCTATTATGTAGAAGGGATAGGCCCATATATGGCAGCGAGAGGGCTAAATTACAAGGCATGTTCAAATTGGATTAAATGTCCCGCCAAAAAATGATTGATTATTTGGTACGCGTAAAAATGAAAGTCACAATGTAATATGAAAGTAAATAATGTTTTCATGCAACACTCTTCTTTTTTTCAAACTTTTATTAATGGTTACACATTCATGTATTTTTGTCTTAAAGCACCACTGAAATACTTATAGCTACTTGCGCCCCATAGCAAACAATGCCCAATTGGTGACCATTGGTCCCTCAGATCCTCTTTTTCTTATGTTAGTTGAGAGCTGATTTGATGAGATAACTACTTGTAAATGACCATGAAGGGAGGTCTAATTCCTCCTGGCCAAACTAGTGCAGTGGGACATTCTTTGTAAGTTTTGTGTAAGATTGAAAATATCG